TCTCATCTTTTTAAGTGGGAGAACTTGCACAATTGGTGGCTGACTAAATACTTTTTTGCCCCACTGTAAATGTAATGGGATATGTTTTGACAAAGAATTATTCCTACTTAATGCATTAAAAACTAGCACTTATGATACTCCTATGATAGGATATGATTATTCCTAAGACCAAAGATAGATTGGAAGCTATCTATTTTTCATATCTTTTTTCTTTTTCTTTTACTTTATCTCACCTTTTCTTTTCTTTTTCTTTATAATTTGTATTTTCAATTTTCTTTTTTATCATATATTTAATAGAACTCTTCCGATTGGAAGCTATCTATTTTTCATATCTTTTTTCTTTTTCTTTTACTTTATCTCACCTTTTCTTTTCTTTTTCTTTATAATTTGTATTTTCAATTTTCTTTTTCATTTCTAACTTTTAACTTTGTAATTTTAAAACCCCAATAAAATATAAAAAGAACATTGCTTGGCAAACCAATCTAGACTATTTATGGTAATTACCTAGAGTATGTAAATTGAAATAAATTACATAAATTGTGCAAATTCAGTTTTATCATATATTTAATAGAACTCTTCCCCCAACTATTCCATTAAATTGTTAAACAAATGCTATATAGTAATATATCAATCTTTCACAATAAACAATGGTTTTACATATGAATGTTAAACTTAACACGCTACTGCAGACATAAAAATTAAAATTGCTATTTAAAATTGCTATTAATTTTGAAACATAATTGTTTCAAAATATATTTTTTCTATATTCCAAATGGGACATAGAATTCCTAAATTTTTTATTTACAGAGTTAACAAAGAATAAACCTCCTCCTATATTGTCCTTGCTCCCATTACAACAAATGCTACAATGTATTCTCTCTTATTTATTTGTCTGAAGGTCCCACCTCCTCACAAGGTAAATGGAGTGCAGACCAGATGACAGATCTTCTCAGTGTTGGCCCCCATCCTTTGGAAAACTCCTCCCCAAGAGGTATGGCTCCAACTTTAATTTCTTCTCACAAATTAGTCAAATTCTACTCTGTTTAAATGTGCTTTTCATTTTTGGCATTTCTGGAGTTTTAATTTTTATTTATGGATTTTTTTCTTCCTTATATTGTATCTTGCCTTATTATTTTCAGCCCAGAGTCTCTTAGAATTGTGGTGGGATATGAAATAAAATGAAGTATAGCGAAGAACAATACAGTCAAAATGAAAGAAACATTCACTACTCTAAATACCTTGCTTGGGCATAAATTGAAGTCCAGAAGAGAGTAAAAAATATTTTAAAATATAAGAATACCGCTGAACTGATTTTCTGTACTGTTCTGAAACACATTCTGGTGGTTGAATAATTTTGCTAAATCTGCAAAAAATGTTGATTTCTGAAATGTTTGCTGCAGCCATTGTTATCCTATCATAAAAAGCTGTCTGACTGCCAAATTGGACTAAAAATAATCAGCCAAGAAGGTTCTTTCTCAACTAAATTATGTCCATCTCTTTCTGTAATCCAAAATCTCCCATACACAACTTTGATACTTAAACAGGCAACAATACAGTCACAGTTTAAAACTTATGTTTATTCTGTAAAGAACTCTTAATTGGTACCTTTGTTAGCTAGTCTTATGATATCTCTTACTCTCATTACAAGTTCCTGTTCCTGCTCAACTCAAGACTCATATAATGAACCAAGAGTACAACTCCAAAGGCTTGCACTCAGTGGAGGTCTGCTTATATAAATAAAGGACAAGGATAGCAACCTCTACCATTTTTCCTTTCCCCAGCAGCCTTGAAAGTCCTGGGCACCTCTCTGAAACATCCTTACATCAGGGATTACAGAGGAAAAAGAAGCTAGCAAAAGTCATCTCCAACCTCCAGCAGGAATATTCATTCCTGAAATGAAAATCAGCTCCAAAATAATCTTGTATATAGAGGTAGTCCTTGCTTAACAACTGTTCATTTACGATGGTTCAAAGTTACAATCTCGGAAAGGGTGCTTTGCAAGCCCGTGAAGCATTTCCAGCTGTTGTAAAATATCACATTCCCCCCCTGCAGTCACATGACTGCATTCTGGGTGCTTGGCAACCAGCTCACATTTACGACCGGTTGCCAAGCACCCTGCAATCATGTGATCGCCATTTGCAATCTTCTCTGCCAGCTTCCCCAGAAAGTCAATGGGGAAGCCGTCAGGGAAGGTTACAAGCAGAGGGGATGGAGGGAAACCTCTTGGCGGTATGCAGGGCAGTGTGCATTCCTCCAGCCCCACGAAGGATTTCCCCTCCATGCAAAGAGGGGAGGGAAAACCCTTTGAACTGAAATCTTTCAGCAGGCAGCTCTTTTGGTCCATCCGCTTAACCACCCAGGAGATCGCTTAACGACCACAACCGAGTGCGCCTAGATTGCAGTTGTTGAGCAAAGCAGTCACATGGGCGTCTCACTTAACAACCGCTTCACTCAACAATCAAGATTCTGCTCCCAATTGTAGTTGTTAAGCAAGGACTACCTGTAATCTCAGTATCATCTTATCACTCTTCAATTTATCAGTCAGAAATACAGGGAGGATAGGCTTAGAGATTTACCTACCTGATAGCAAGTAAGCTTTATGAATCCATCAGAAAATTCTCTCTCCCAGTAGCAGGTAACTGGGAAATATTTCTGTTTGCAATCTCTCCCATGCAGGCCATGTAAGGGCATGGACAGCCTTGCCAAGGGGATCAAATAATATCCCTTTTTTTTTTTTTACTTTATGGTTTCTGTTTTATACATGCAATCTATCACAGAAAGTCCCTTAAGTATTTCTATCAACACTATATATCTGAGAAATACTGAGATATTCAGTATTTATTTTAATGAAGGCCTCAGTACACATGGAAAATTCAATGGGTATTACATTAATCAAAAGTGATATACATGCAAACTAACCTGTGCACATGATTCTTCAGGCGTTTTGGCACTGACCGAATAAAGTGCTGGCAGATCTAATCTGTGTACAGCAATTTTTTCAAGAGAGTGTAATAAAGCTGGAGCAAGGTGTGAAGTCTGACCTGAATCCCTTTCTCCGGAAAGTAGTAATCTTGGCCTGTAAGAGGTGGGCTGGTGATAAGCTGACCTGCACAAAATAATATTTTGTTCAGATCTACAATGCACTCACATAACTTCTATATTTTTACTTCATTAAACAGGGTGTGAATAGCCTGAAATATTCCATAGTAGTATATTTTCAACATTGTCTAACCATAACTATTTCATAAGGAGTCAGTATTGTGTTTACAATTTACACACAAAGAGATTAACATGAATTGTGTTTTACAAGCAGCAAGCAAAATTACTAATTTCACATAAAAGACTTGTTCCACCCATATTATATCCTCCCTGCCCCAGGCTAACATGACAGTATCAGTAACAGCTACTGAGGAATAATCCTGAATTATCTTATACTACTTTATTTGATACCTTATTCTGATTTAAACTAGAAATGGATTTAGGCAATCACAAACTGTAATGATCATAATGAACAAAACCAAACTAATTCAGTTCTAAAACACATTCACAGCAATTTAAATAACTACATATTTCCTGCTATAAAACTTTAGGCAGAAAGTTTCTTTGAACAGTCTTTTTGCTTATGTTATAGGGCTGGGTTAAGCATTAAAAGAGGAGCTTCACAACACTCAACACAAAAAAAATTACACCTCTTTGAATCATTAAAGCAGCCATATCTTGCAAACTCTTGTGGGTGCTCTGGAAGATGCTATCTCCGCTTAACTTTGTTTTCTTCCTAGTGAAATTTACAATCACATTCTACCCCTAGAAGAATTTTCCTATAAAATTTCCTTGAAACACCATGAAGTTTCTACAGAATTGAAACTGAAATTAAACTTTATTACAGCTGAAGACCAGCATATTTACTAGAGAAACAGTGATATAGTAATCAAAGACTTCAAGTACTACTGATTTTTTAAACAGTTACAAAATATCACTATCCTATCATGAACCTCCCTATACTGTACTTCGTTGGTTTTATCATGTTTGCAATAAAACTATTCTAAATAAAAACATATATAGTCAAAATAAGAAAATACAGTCCTTGGCCTGCATGGGTGTCCTACACAGGCTGGAGTGCCCTCCACCACCACATTGCTTCCACTGATTCCCTAAAAATTGCAGCACTGTTTTTATTGGTTTGTATTCTGAAAAGAAGCTTGGACCAGGGCCCATGTTCCATCTACTGATGGAACTTTTTAGTGGTCTTTTTTTCAATGGAAGGGAAGACGACAATTGCTTCCATCTGTTCCCAAGAAAACCTCTACAGTATTTTTTTTTTCCTCCTAAGTCAGAGAATTGGCATTGAAAAGGAGTCTCAGTGCCATAGTGCCCCCTACTGATGGGGGGGAAAGCAGCTTTTTAGAATGTTATATAAAAAGCACAAGAAGTAAAAGTAAAAGGATTAAGTATAGGAAATAAACACTTTAAAAAGTGAGTCTGTCCACTTTGGTGTATGTCTCCCCCAGCTTTTGGAATCAACTGGCCTCACAAAGCCCTTCACCCGGCAGAAGTTGTACAGCCCTCTAATTGTGTCTGAGAGCTGTCTAATGGTCCTTTTTAAAGTGACTTGTTCCTTGCTGGAGAGGGACAAGCCACAGGATCATCTGGAGGATTTGCTGTGAGGAACCTTCTAGGCATCTGGCAAATAAAATCACTTGAATTTGCTTGGATTGATTCAGTCAGAGTTGGATTCTGACTGGGCAAGTCTTCTCAGGATGACAAGATCTTCTTTGGTTCCCTAGAGCAAGTTTGAGTCTACAACTCCTGAGGAATGGTTCTCAGGTCTGTTAACCCAGCCACCTGTTTATTTGATTCATGCTCCTCTTGGCTGGTAAAAGCCATTCAGGAGATGACATGCGGGTCACTCCATGTAGAAGTATCTGCTCCATTAAGAAAGGGGTTAGTAACACTTTAGAGAGACAGTGATGCAGCCCTTCTTCAAGATGCCTTCACTGTACCTGACAGTCCTGAACAATTTTTATCCAGCCTCCAACCTTCTACTTTTGGGGAAGGTTTTTGTGAAGCTGGTTGGGCTATGGCTTCAGAGGGCCCTGGAAGATGTAGATTATCTAGAACCCTTCAGTCAGGTTTCAGACCAGGACACAGTACTGAGATGGCATCGATTATGTTGGCTGATGACTTGTGGCAGGGCCAGGATGGGATTACCACAGCTAAATTCACAGCTCGTACTCAAGGAGCAGGTGGCAACAGTGGCCAGGAAAGCCTTTCTGCAAATTCATCTAGTACACCAACTGTCCTGTGTCCAAATCAGGAGACCCAGTCTTTCATGCTTGTTTTTGGACTACAACAATGCACTCTACATGGGGTTGCCCTTGAAGACCATTCAGAATCTGTAGCTGATCCAGAAGGGAGCAGCACAGGCCATTATGGACATGCTCATATAACACCTTTGTTTTGTTAATAGCACTAGTTATCAGCAGGCTTCTGGGTGCAATTCAAGGTGCTGGTTATTATCTATAAAGCCCTTAATGGCATAGGGGCTGGTTACCTGAGGGATTGTCTGTCTTCCATAGCACCTGTCCATCCTATATTATCTGGCAGAGTTGGCATACTCAGGGCCCCATCAATTAAACAATATAATCTGATGGGGCCCAGGAAGCACAACTTCTCTGTAATAGTACCTGACCTCTGAAACGATATCCTCCCAGAAGTTTGTACATCCTTCACAATAACCTTATTTAAACAAGCTCTTAAAACCTGGCAATTCCCCCAGACCTTGGGCTGGAATGGGTGACAGATCCTTTGTGGGATGGTTGACATGTAGGAATTCATGTTATTTTTTCAGAATTTGCTTTTTGTATTGTTTGTATTATACTGTTTTAAATTATTTTATATTGTACACCACCTGGAGTGATTATGAAATTGGACAGCCTATATATTAAAACAAACAAACAAATGATGCAAGGCCTAGTGTAGTTAATTTCATTTAAAGATTTACCACAGCAATGTTACTTGTAAAGTAATATTTAACTTCAAAATGTGAGGCCTTACTACTCCACCATACATAAACTCTTCCTAATATAAATGCAATGGATTACTGTGATATTTAACAATATACTTTTCCACAAAGCCATTTAATATCAATCAAGAATCACTGTTCGTACTGTTTGGTACTTAAAGGCCTAATGTCAAGATCTGTGATGTGAAAAAATGGTTAGACATCTCAACTTCTATATTAAAGTAATGTCATATATAATATGCTTATTTGGAACTGCACAGAGATATGTTGGTTAAATTTTGATGAATACAGTACTAGAGTTATTAGCTTACATTGTATAATGAAGGTAAGGTTTATGTACAGCAGCTGGTAATTGTTTCTTTGGTGATCCCGGCTGGCAACTTGTTTCAAAGATTGATGAAGCATTTTCATCTTCACTATCATCCAAAATTAGATTTGGTGCATCTGTTCAATCAAAATTAAGATGTTATTAATATACATTATTGATCCTCTTGAAAATATTAAAAAAACAACAATTTCCTAAGATTTCCTAATATACAACCCTCTCACATAGAAAAATTAAAAATGTCAAACCCAACATATTCAAATATTTAATCTGCTTAACGTTCTTTCAAGAATGTGACAGAATTTATGTTCTTAGCTATCACACAGTTCTTTAGTAGCTATCATTCTGGCTAGAGAAACTAACAAAGAGAGACAATGATGAAAAGTAAACAAAATAAAAGTACTTTGTATCAATTACTTAACAAATCTTCTAATAGTCTTCATCGAACAATTACCAGAACACAAGTTCTGAATAGTCTCAACATCCTTTTCTGATTTTGAGCACCAAAAAACAAGCAAAAACCCAAACCCATGAGATTTTAAAGATTTATGCAGTCTTACACAAGATTTCAGCGGGGGAAGGCTAAGGCACCTTTTGGGCTTCTGAATGCCTCGAGAATGCCAAATTGCCAAGC